TCCAGGTGACTGGAACAAAACTCCCGGAGATTATTTTACTGAACCTGAGGCTGTTCTCCCAAACAAGGTCCCATGCAAAACTACAGAATGACAAGCATGTAAGGTAGCATTCGGTCTGGCTGTCTAGCGTTGTTCGTGGGCATCTAGGTAAGGGTAATAACCCAGTAGTGTGCACTGTCCGGGTGGTTCATGTACGCTTCATTTCGATGGTATCCGATATCAATGCGGCCCCGGAGCTCGCTCCGGTATATCAGCGCCAAAGAAGCTCGGGAGTTAGATGATGTGCTGAGATCCCGTGTCGTGGTCCATGCTTAGTGCCTCGTGGTATTTGAAGGGAAGGATGCATGGGAATAAGAGATGAGATGTCTGTACCGCATCATCTCCTAGTGTTCCAGAACCTATTATATGACTCGAACCAGACTTGAGTCAGTTTTATGCAGTTTCAAGACCTCTAAAGAATGTTTTCCTGCAACATTGTGTTTATATAATCGGTGGAGATGATAGGATCAGGAAATTCTCTCACGAGAGGTCTGGGGAGGTCTAACACATTTCCCCGAAGACATACCCCCAAACACATACCATATGGACATGGAAGATGACATACATGTACCGGAACAATTACACCGCGGCTTAACCCCAACCTAGAGTCTCGCCCAACGTCAAGCTGCAGCGTTTTGACCAGTCCCTGTCGTGACGGAAGCTAGGCGCTCAGACTCCCGATGTTTGACTACGCCAGCTTCTGTTTTGGCAAACTCCCTTAACGGAACACGTTGCGCAAACAATCGATTCAGTTCCTCATAAGTCAAGTTCTTTGTTTCAGGGAGACGGAAGAAGGCCCAGGTGAAGAACAGGAGCGCCGTGGTGGCCCAAACAAACGCTGTTTCAAGTCAATAATCCCTCGCTCAACAATCCTTCCTACGTGACTCGATACAGGGGAGGGGCTTCACTCACCAGCACGTGCCCCGAGATCTAGCGCGCGAGGGTTGAGAAAATAGGGCTGCACGGAACTGCCTACCGTGTGGACCACGTAGTAGGAGTTTCGTGCTAAAACAATCGTCTTCTGTCGCAGCCTCGTGCTTCCGACCTCTGCTGGGATAGCCCAGCCGAGCTGCCCCGCTGAGAGCTGGAAGACAGCTTTCCAGACTATGGTGAGATACGCCTGCGCCTCGGCAACACCGTGGCGTTGTTTCCAACTGGTCAGGATGGCGATCAGGTAGAGGAGGAGGGACATGGTGAATGCGCCGCCGAGGTATATCTTTCGCCTACCCACACGAGGCAAGAGAAAGAACCAGCTACAGAACGCCGAGAAGAGGGCAAGGCCATACCCTCCAATGTTTAGACTGTATGTAATATTTGCAGGCAGGCCTATCTGCTCGTAGAAGTAAGTTGCGTTGTAGGCTATGGGTAAGCCGCACAACACTTGGCCCATGAAACACATGCAAGCAATCTCTGTCCGGCGAAGCTCGACGCCCTTAAAGCAGTGCTTGTATGAAGTACCAACTGCCAGATCTTTCTCTGCTTTGTTGGTTTCAATAATTGCTGTGAGAGCTTGTTTATGGCTGATGGGACAGTCTGAGGCCTGCAGACGGTTTATGGAACGCTCTGCTTCTTCGAGCTTCCCTTGGCGCACTAGATGCCATGGCGATTCCGGTGCGAACATAAGAATTGGGATGAGCCAAGCAGGCCAGAACCACTTGCTGCCAATTAGTCTGCAAAATTCGGTTAATACTCGAGAGGGAGAGGAAAGGACTCACCTGGAGGGCGAAAGGAATTCTGAACCCCCACTCATCATCTCTGCTTAAACACACTCGAAGTACACCGGACGCAATAAACTGACCAATGATGAAGCACATGTTGGTCCAACTGGTGAAGTACACTCTCAGCACCATCGGTAGCATCTCGCTAGCATAAGCAGGTGCTGACGTTGCAAAAATCCCCCATGGAATGCCACAGAGAAGCTGCCCTGTAAGAAGGACTTGTGGGTTTTGGGAAAAGAAGACAATGAAGATGAAGCATGATAGAGCCATGAGAGCACCAACAATGGTGTTTCTTTGGCCAAAACGATTGACCAGAATCCCATTCAAGAGGGCACCTGTGATTGAGGGCTATTAGCTCTAGCCGAACGTATGTTGAAGTTTTGCAAAAGGCTTTAGGCACTCACCGAAAAAAGCGCCGACTCCAGCGGCGTTTCCCAGACCAGCTTGCCATGCTGGTGTGAGTTGGTATCCCGATCTTGTCTGGGAGCTCACGCCCACATACTCCCCGTACTTCTGCTGGAAGGTTGGGTATGCCCACAGATTGCCCAACAAGATGGTGTCGTAGCCCTCCATTACAACAGTCATGCTAGGAATCAGTTAGCATTTTCCCATCGAGTCATGAAGCCCAGGTCGTGGTTCAGACCTCACTGCCAAACACCAGAAAATTGCCGATCGATAATGATGTACTGCCTGGCGTACTGTGATGGAATGCTCGAGGGTTGACGACCCCCTAGTACCGTCAAGGGCTGGCATCGGATTCTCTGATACCTCGTTCTTCTTGCTAGTCTCCCTTCTCTCCATTTTCGTCGTATTGGATAAGGTCTGGTCACTAATCTTAGAAGCTGGCCGTTGATACCCTGGGATATGCGGAGCCAGAGCTGTCTTTGTCCTGAAATCGAGGTCTGGTAACGGAGCCCTCTTCCTCGGATCAGATTGTGGATGGCGAAAGGGTAAAATTCGATGTTGGAGAAGCTTCAGGGGGATCTCCAAAGAGATTAGATGTCAAATAAACAGTGAGACAAGTCTCAAGTAGTCGCGTCGTTCCTCAGGAAATTTAAGTTGTAAGCCACAAATGCAAAATTATCCCTTTACCAGTCGCTTCTCCTCCTGCACACAAGCCAGTACCTAGCCAATAATAACGAACAAATTCCCCTGTGTACTTGAATTCATTCGGTTTACCAATCTAACACTTTTGTAACCTTAGACTCACCCTCACTGGTTGCTTAACACGAGTGTCTCACACGTAGAACAGGTAGCACCCTAGCCATTAGTACTATGTAGCGTATCTCAAGGAATATATTGATTGCAAATCATGGGAAAATATGTCCAGAAATCCGAGTCACTAGCTAGGTACCCCAATTGCTCCTTGAGAGAATGGTCACTAGAAATTAATAGAGGTCCATCTTCTCCAGATGGATCAATCCGTTCGGAGGCTATATGAACTTTTGTTAGAAGATAGAAAATAAAAGCAACTCAGGTTCGGATCTGATTAGCACTCACAGGAATGAACTGCCTTAGCTTCACACCCGCCTGTCTGAAGATCTCTGCCGTCTCGGTGTCCATGCTGTACCCATGCGCATACACGACCTCGCTGATACCGACCTGGCACACCTTGATGCTGCATGTCAGACAAGGGCAGGTGTCGCAATATAACACGGCGCCCTCCCTGATCCTCTCCCGCCCGGCTTCTAGAAGCGCGTTCTCTTCCGCGTGGAGACACAGGCAAGTGGATAAGCCGACTCCAGAACTGTTTCCATCGTTGCATCGAGGGCAGCCTCCCTCGGCACAGTTGCGGAGCCCACGGGGCGTCCCGTTGTAGCCTGTGCTGATAACCCTGCGTTCCTTGCCGACCAGAACGCACCCGACACGGCGCTTCATGCAGTTGGAACGCTGCGCAGCAAGGGAAGCGAGTTCCATGAAGTATGTGTCCCATCCAGGGCGAAGACGATCCGAATTTGTGATATCAAGCTTGCCGAGCGTGGCGTAGAGGTGTGCTAATGATGCAGAGGTGTTGAGCAGCCGCACAGTCGCTCGTGACATGAGGGACTGGATGCTGTTGTGCGGGTCATACAGATTTCCATCGTTCAACGTTACAAAGTCCTCTAGGCTGATTTCGTCCTTCCCGGAGTGTCTTGAACGCTGCCGGTACCGATGCCATCGAATCGTCAGCGGCGCGTCGATGGATAGGAGTAGAAAGAAAGGCCGCCGGGCAAAGACATCAAGAATTGCCTCGGTGGAAATATCCGTCGTCACGAAACGAGATCGCCATCTCGTCGTCACAAAATCAAGCATGGCTTGTGGCGAAGCAAAGGTGTGTGGCTGGCTTTGAGGCCTGAGAGCAAGGGCTGTCCCGTTCTCGGCTTTGCTCGTCAAGGCACTGTAGCCCGCTGCACTAGCAGCGATCGCGCTGGTAGATTGAGAGACCTCATTTTGGTCTGATATGGATGAAGCAGGACCGCCATCTACGGAGCCTTGACTATCACCGTGTTGCAAGTATAGGTGTTTGAAGCCATGGTGCTCAACTAGGTACTGAGCCACGGTCTTCTTACCAGCGCAGATGCCTGGTAAGATTTGTCAGTTCATGCTTATTCAAAGGGCAATTTCGATTTGAACACTTACTTCCACATATGCCAATCAACATCTTGTTCTATACGCTGCTGTTAATTTGCGTAAATTTTATGATCAGGTTGGACCGCGTCTTTGGGCTCCGAAACGCGACCGGTCTTGTCTTCCCGTTAGCGCCTACCCTGTATCGGAACCTGTGGCGCTACAGTTCGCTCGTTGAACTCCCTGACCAACAGATACATCCTCCAATATCTAGGTGGTAGACTAGGTAGTAACGGCTAGTAGTCTGAATATGTACAGATTTTTGTAAATCCTACCCAAGCGATACAGTTAATAAAACACGAGAATGATCAAACGAGCAGTCAGCTGTAGACTTGAAAACTCTTTGAACTTGTCAATGCCTTTGGTTGGGTGTGGCAGGCGCTCGAGGCTAGGAAAGTGTCCATGTAGCAGAATAACGCAAGATTTCACATGAACATCCGGTATGGTGTAGTGGCTAACATCGCTCGCTCTCACCGAGCAGCCCTGGGTTCGATTCCCAGTACCGGAGTACATTATCTTTTGGCCCATCTGATATTCAGATCGTGCCGCTTTTTTACCATTTTGATCTCTTATTTATTTATTTAGTATATTTATTCTCGTCATATGAAATTTACGTGCGTTAGCTTATAGCTTGTCCTACGCAATAACTTCAAGGACATGTTTGGTCATTGCAAGCACCTTTTCCTCCTCCAGCCTCTGTGCTACGAGTTGGAGGCTGATGGGCAGCCCATGCATCAACTCGGCATCATCTGTTGACACTGTTGTCAGCATTTGAAGAGAACATGACACTGGGTCGGAATTATACTCACAATCCTCATTGACTGCCTTGCAAATATCACCAAGTGGCTCGTATCCGTTCAGTTGGTCAATGGACTTGTCGACGGTGAGGCCGGTGACGAAAGATGTTGCGGAATAGTCCAATACGTTATACACACCGGTGTAACCAACTATTTTCATGATCAGTATGATTATAAAACAAGACAAGCTCCATCAAAAGAAAGAAAACTTACCATGTTTGAAGGCTCCGTGTCGAACTGTGTTAAATGGGATGGTAGGAATCAAGAGTGCGTCAATACCAGCCTTGGTCCAACGGTCCAGATACCGACCTTGAAACTCCGAGCGCTCAAGATGGAGCTTCCACATCTCGCTTGTGGTGAGGTCCTTGGCAGCCGAGTAGGCTTCCATCTCGGGCCTCCAAGGCTCACCCGTGCGGTCGAGCTCCTTCTTGATGGTCAGGCCACCGTCGGCCACGAACATTCGCCCTAGAAGTTCGTTTCCTTCCTCTTGATCAACTGGATCCCACTCAACAAACTCGTGTCCCGCGGTCTCGAGCTTCGCCTTGACTTCTCGTAGCGCGCGGGCGACGGGAGGTGTCGGGCGCACCATGCCGTCGTGCCACATGACACCAATCTTCAGTTTCTTGGGCAGTTCCACCTCCCTCCATGGAATGGGAACGCATTTAGGATCACGAAGCCAAGGCTTCTCGCCGATTAGGCTCTTACTATACAGCTCAACGTCCTCAATGGTGTTGGCCAGTGGGCCATTAACGGAGAGAACTGCCTCCTGACCCGGCATGCCGGATCTGGTGTTTCTCACTGGGAACCGGCCAGCTGAAGGTCGAATAGTGAACAAACCAGCACAAGCAGCTGGAATACGGAGAGACCCGCCTTGATAATATAGAGTTAGCACTATGTTTTTGATTGAGTGGGAAAGGAAAAAGGGGATTGTACCAATGTCGGATCCCACACCCAGGGGGCTGCCCCTGAGCACAATGAGCGATGACTCGCCGCCAGAGCTCCCGCCGCTGGTTGTTAACCTGTTTCTGGGGTTCACGGTTCTTCCGAACACGTTGTTGACCGTCTCTGCGATCATCATGGCGGTGGGCACGTTGGTCTTCACATAAAATACAGCGCCAGCAGCCTCCAGCAGCTGGGCAAGCGGGGAGTCGGAGTCTGCAGGGTCATCGATATGTGCAGCAATGCCGACAGTGGAATCGAGACCCTTCAGCTTGAAGTTGTCCTTGAGAGAGATGGGAAGGCCGTGTAGGGAGCCCACAGGCTTTCCTGTCCGGGCAAGCTCTTCATCGCGAGCTCGTGCAGTTGCCAGAGCACGCTCAAAGCAAGTCTCTGAAAGGCAGTTAGTCTGGGATCATGATCAGCATGTTGCGAGGACAGCGAAGCTCAACATTTCCAGAGGGCTGACTGAGAATGGGAGCTTGATGATTTGGGTATTCCCTGTATCGCACTAACCAGCTGATGGGCAGCGACCGCACGCTTGCAAAATGCTTTGGTGACATCAAGGGATTTTAATTCACCAGACGCAAGCTTGGGCAGAAGCTCCGCGGCTGTGGAGTTGGTAATGCTCAGTTCCTCGGGGGTGAACCAACCAGAGGTTTCTGCCCAATTTGTCACGTCTGTTTGGGACTCGTGAGGTAGAAGATCTGAGGGCACACGCCATTCCTTTGGAAGGCTGGCCTCGAGAGACGCACGCTTCTTGGCACCGGCGTCCTCCCAATGAGGCTCGGAGATGGTCTTGGATGGCGACATTGTGTGAGAATGAGAAGGTGTGCTTTACAGAACTGATTAGGAAATTATGGCAAATGAAAGAGACTGGTATAAAAAGTAGCTATGGAATATAGAGAGCGAAGTGCTTCTGGAAGTTTTGGGCGAATACAAGAGCAACACACGTTTCCTTTATTCGATGGGCCGATCACGGCTGGTGCGTATGTGCAGGAAATGGCATCAAGATGCCTGCCTATGGCTCCCATCCATATTGGCTACGTCCACTAACATCTCATGGCACGCATTGATTGATGAATGGTATCAACGGGAGCATATCACGAGGCAACCCCACACACATATCGGTTGAAAAGTCCCGCTAATGCTGTTCCCCCCAATCCCGCCATTAGAAAGGTTTCCTAATACGGTAACTGATCTTCTGCTGGCTAAGTTGAACTCGGATCTTTAATGAAATGCACTAGGATGTGCCTAATTTTGTATTACCGCCCGCCTTCTTATCCCCTTCCTGTGGTGACATGGAGCTCATGATAATGCAAATGATAACGCTTGCCTGATAGTACTTGCGACTAGCTTCAGCCTGCTTCTCCTAGGAGAAAGACTGCTCATTCGAGTATACGTTCAAGCCTAATCATTGTTTGTTGTGTCGGCGAGTCAAGACTGATGATTTACTGCATGCCGAAGATCCGAAAATCGGCATCATCCGGGGAAACACCCATCTTGTTTGTTTCCTTTCTTGGGTAGCATTTCTAGGGTTCTGCATTATGAGGGGCCGAGGCTCAATGTGATTGAATAGGCTGAGTATATGTTTTCACATTATTATATGGTGACTGTCTGATCCCAATATTGAGACGTCAATCATCACATGATGTTCATTGGGGTCAAAGCCGGGCATTAGTGTCATTGTTATAACCCAAGAGGCGCTGGTATAGGTCTTATCAAGCTAGCCATATCTTCAGAAAAGCAAGGGCGTAAATTCGTGTACTACTTGGCTGCTGCCTTGAGGGAGGCCTAGAGGAGGCTTGGATGATGTTTCGAGGAGACGAGGTAAGCGACCGGAGGAACCAAGTCCGCGCCTGATAACCCCGGCCTTACACGTATGGTTACGCCGATCTCGGTGTAGCTCGTAGAGCTTCTCACGAGGGTTTCTTGATAAAGGTGTTGGTGTTCATGTGGGTTTCATTTCATGAGATGGTTTCTTACGAAGGACCCCAGTGCGCTCAGGCGGGCGTTTCCCAAAGTAGAAGGGGATCAAATCATCTGCGGAAGGTCATCTAATGCTTCCATGCTAGTTTTGTATAATCCGAGTGCGGGGGAACAAGCTCATATACCCGCCTGGTCGGTTAGTACTGCCATGTTGGTGATCAAATCGCAACACCATCCCTCAGGAAGACTAGTAAAGCGCAAGTAGCTGCGGCACCATTATGCACCCCGGCCGGCCGGTCTACCCTAGCCGATACGCAGAATGATACATCGTCGGTCGCTCCTGATTCTGGGTTCCGGGAATGATGATAGTTGATGGGGTTTCCAACGCGGCAGCATTTTAAATCATGATGCTATCCTTATCTGCTTCTCCACAAATGATACAACGCCTTCTCCACCCAAGATAAGGTCACATTCTCGACTTGACGGACGACCTTTTCCAGGATCGGCCCTGTCCCTTTCTCAGTTCGTGCGTGTGTTGCGGAGGGCAGATGAACCTGGTAGATAGATTTGAACTAGGCGACTAGCCTCTTACTGGATTAACAAGCATCCTGATTAGTTCATTTTCGTGACATCCCAGCGGTCAGTTTTATCGCTTTGCCACGGAAACCCCCGACCTCACTACATCTCACTCCGCCATGACACCGACTTGGAAGTTGGACTAAGAGGCCGTTATGGGTTTCTCGGCATGCATCTGACTCGATACTTTGACTCCCACTGCCTTTATCGGGCAAGCCTACTGTCCGTGGGAAAAAGAATAAATATCCGTCACCAATCCCCCTCCCAAACCATCATCCCGGCAGAGCTTCAGATTTCATCTAGGATCTCAAGTCATCGCGCTGTCAACAAGCAATTATCTATCTAATCCCCTCCCCCAAGGGCGTTTCCAGGCCCCATCGTCATGATGGACAAACTCCGAAACTACTTCCATGTGGACTACAAACCCGGAGAGCGTCGCCTCGTGCAAAAGATCGACTTCTTTATCCTCACATTTTGCTGTTTGAGTTACTTTGTCAACTATGTATGCTACTCCTGGTTTTTAACTGGAAAACTACCAAAGGCTGACAAAGTGATGGCATAGCTTGATCGCAGCAACATCAACAATGCTTATGTTTCGGGCATGAAAACCGATCTCAACTTCCAAGGAGACCAGCTCAACCAGATCTTCACTTGCTTCACTGTCGGGTATGTTTCATTGCACATAAACTAATGTTCTATGGTCATGCAACTGAACAATCGATATGCAGATATGTCATTGGACAAATTCCATCCAACTTGTCCCTCCAGTACATCAAGCCAAGGATCTGGTTCCCGCTAATGATGGTCCTCTGGGGTGGTTTGACAATGGTTACTGCTTCAGTAAAGTCCCCACAATCTATTATGGCGATTAGATTCTTTCAGGGCATATGTGAGGCCTCTACATTCGTAGGCACTCATTACATCTTGGGATCATGGTATACGGAGCGAGAACTGGGAAAGCGAAGTGGTATTTTCACCGCTTCTGGTCTGGCAGGGACCTTTATCGGTGGATTTATCCAAACTGGAATCCATTCTAGCATGAATGGCCTCCATGGGCTCGCTGGATGGCGCTGGCTATTCATCATCGACGGTCTTCTCACAATCCCCGTCGCCATCTATGGCTTCCTCCTTTTCCCGGATACACCATTCACGACAACGGCTTTCTACCTCAGCGAGGAAGAGAGACAGCTTGCTCGCGAGCGAGTGCCACCGCCTCCTGAGCAACGGCCCTTGACCTTCTCGTTCGCCAAGAAGGTCCTCGGCTCTTGGAAGTGGTGGGGTTTTGTCATTCTCTGGATTTTCGCTGGAGAGACGGAATCCTTCAGCACCAATGCCTTACTCAACCTCTACATGCAAAGTCATCCGACCAAGAAGTATACAGTTGCTCAGCTGAACAATTACCCAACGGGTGTCCCCGCCGTCGGCATCGTCTCAACTCTATTCTGGGCGGCGCTGACCGATTTCCTGGGGGGCAAGAGATATCTTGTCGCTTACTTCATTGGCCTCACAGGCATAGCCACCTCAATCATGGTGCTCGTGGCAGCCCGGAACCCATTAAGCGAGGCATCGACAACCGTGACATTCGCTGCATATTACTGGGCAGGTTCTGTGTATGCTTGCCAGGCAACCTTCTTTGCCTGGTGCAACGACGTTATGCGATTTGATGAAGCTGCTTTCAGAGGTGTTGTGCTTGCCGGCATGAACGTGGGCAGCAATGCTGTGAATGCCTGGTGGAGTATCCTCTTTTACGGTGCCTCAATGGCTCCTTGGTTTAACGTTAGTAGTCTTTTCATACCCCTCCCCCTCCCTGTAAACTTCATGATGTGAGCTAACTGAGGTCAATTTAGCGAGGAATGTGGGCTATGATTGCCACTTCTATCGGATTGGCAGTGTGGGCCGGGCTTCTATCCCACTTCGCTCGCAAGAACAAAACGAGCGCGATCGAAGCTGAGGAGCAGATTAGAGCTAGTGAGCTTGCGACTGAGAAGATGGATGAACACACATAAGAGAAAGACCGTATCGCTGAGGAAGTTAATGAGCTAGAATAGACGGGGAGGAAGTGGTGTACAATTTTATAGCTCCAAAATACACAAAGTATTGGTATCGCAAGAATGTTCTGGTTCAAAGAGTTGGAAGGGCTTTGATGCTATCATGATCTAGGGTACATGGTTGGGTGGCTGATGTGCCTGACAAAAGTGGCAGTGCGTGGCTCGGCTCCCGGATAATCATTCCGCCATGATCTGCCGGCGAATCTTGGAACTTTAGCACCTGTGTGAGCGATCATGACATCATCAAGTTGCTCATTGAGAATGATTGCGCCGTCTTAGAGGCACGCTAATAACCACCGAAAACACCAGATTCGCAGTGGAGTGGAGGAGGTTCGCGATTTGTGTCACCCCTGGCGGCTGCTCTAGTGATCTTGGTCCGTGAAAGGGGGATCCACGACCAGACGGAAGGAGGACAGTCTTGCGACAGCTATTTTTTTCTCCCATCCCGCGTCTCAGATCTCTCCGTTCGTTACATTGCTCACAGCAACCTCCCCTCGTCTTTGATGTGAGACTCGTGCTCATGATGCAAGCTTCATAACCCCTTCTGCTGCCTGAATCATAGCCGATCGAAGCCCCACTCCAGAGCTACTTCGGTCGCTGGAAACGTCATGGTCATATCCCGGCTCACGAAATGCTTCGAGTGACGAGTTCGCGGCGTGCGGCGGGATTGAAGCCTGGCGACTTTGATCACAACATTGACCTTGTTGACCACGATAATAAGGCTGATTCTCCTGCTGGATTATCTGTCGGGGGACCCTCGATTGAGAGCGCATCGACGGAATCACGCCTTTTGCGCCCCGAAGATGGCGCGACGCAAGGCGACAACCCCGATAGCCCTCGGGTCGAGGAGCGCCCCGTGGAAGAGCTGCAGGCTGAGCAGGAGCTGCCTCAACTTGCCGTAAGGCCCTCAATTGAAGTTCAAGGTAATTAATCTTATCGTGATCCCGCGGTATTCTGATCTGTTGTCTGACACACTCGGCAGCGCCGACGCCAGGTGAATTTCATGGGGGCAAGAATGTTGTACCCAGGAAACCAAAAGTTAAACGAGAGACTGCCATTGACATCCTGTATGAGAATGAGCGAGGCGGTTTCTTATGTGGCCGACCTCTATTCTCAGCCGCTGCCCTCGGAGGTATTGATGCCTCGGCATGGAGTGAGTGCAAACCCCCTGCCGTGAAGAATGCCCGCATCTGACCCGTACCAGCAAACATGTATCATAAGCCTTCACCAACCAATATCAACAATGCACAGGTTCCTGACCCCTCATGGGAATGGGTATGGTCAGAATGGCATCTCAACATCCAAGATGGGACGGATGAAGGTGGTTGGGAATATTCATTTGCGTTCAGCAAGAGATTCTCATGGCACGGTGCACGATGGTACAATTCGTTCGTGCGACGACGGGCATGGACCCGGAAGCGAGCCAAAAAGAGGCCCGAGGATATTTCCGCGGACCCTTACATGGAGAATGGAGAGTATTTTACTGTGCGACCAGCATCGGATAGAACAACTTGTCCATCTCAGAGGAGCCTGTCTAGCAGCCGAACCCCTAGTAGGACGAACCTTAGTGGTGTATCCTCACGGGAATCGGGACAGACAATGCCGGACATTGAGCATTTGGATACCCTTATCCATAGACTACACCAATCGAGGATCGACCGCGAAAAGCTCGATGCAACGAAAAATTATTTGAGGAACGCTACAGATCTTGGTGATCTACCCGACAGAATACATGAGATCATGGCTCTCTTCGTGTTCCAGGCTTCACGGAGACTTCTCTTGAGCCATATCATCCATATATATGATGAATCGACGAAAGAGCTCGAAACGAAGGACAGCGTGGAGGTTAAGGAGCACCACGAGGCCGTTAAATCTGCGCTTAAGCATGCAGATGAAGAGGTACGGAAGCTTGCTTATTGGAGCGATGTTAAACATATGGCAGTTGAGGGGAAGTCCCAACATGCCGTCGACGAAGAGAAAGGCTGGGAAAATGGCTGGGAGGGATTGGACAACAGTGGTCCCTCACACCCGAATACTGATAATTTGGCACGGCCAAGAGGGTCATGACAACGGCATGGAAACATAAATTTCCTATGTTTGTTTAAAATATTTTTTATATCTCTTGGGTTAAGCGTTGACTGGGGTTTGGTAATGGGCGCAACAGACAGCACAAGTGGGATGGACAAACGGAGAAATTGGACGCACAGAGCACCTACACAACATCGCATACTATACTTATTGATGGGGGAAAAGGAAATAAAGTACAGCTATCGTATTATTACCATGGAAAAGAAATGCTACACATTGTTTATTTTTATGTGAAACGCAGTTGACCATGTACCAAGTTGATATGTGAAGACCGGAGCTGCGGCACGTGACGCTGAAAAAGTTAGGCATTTTCGGGGTACTGATATGATTTCTATGCGCTTATCGGCGGGACGACTTCACCTACAACCTGTCGGCCGTACATCATTCTGCCGTGATTACCATGATTGCCTCATGACCAATGTCCTTGGGGATCAGTTCCATATGCAGGGCTCGTTCACGCCTTGTCCACCCTGCCGGACTGTCCCAATTGCCTTCCAGTTCTCTCTCCTTGCGAGCATCGACACATGCTGTTCGGCCCGAGTTGCTTCTGAGATATTCGTCTGATGCAACGTCAAGGAGCGAAACTACACGCTTCGGTTTCAGCTATGAGTCCTTACGGTTGGCTAATGGGACGTTTGGTAAGGGGGGAAAGGTGAGCTCGAGCCTAGAGGCACCCGGAATGAGATCGGCAAGCGATGGTGGAAGCATCAATGGCGCTCAGGCGGCTCCGGCGACCGAACCTGTGTGGCGGACGAGCGACCAAGAAACCGAGAATGGCGGAGATGGAGTTGAAGAGGACACAACGAGCCTCGCGACAAGCCTCATCGAAGACACCACGCCGGCGTCACTACTTCCCGAGGTTCACAATGCGATTACAACCAAGACCATACCCACGAACGACCCGACATTGAAAAGCGCCGTCTACCGCGAGATATATCAATCGATAAAGCGTGACGATCCGCTTATACAAGAGAAGCTTGCGTCTCCCTTTGCGCCACAAGCATTGAATTATCCTTCAGCCTTGTCGAGAAGAGTAAACCTCGACAGTGTTCACATGGCTGCCAAAAAGCTTGTAGCACAAGACAAGCTCTGGGCTATGCACCTTCCCGATGACCATTTCGTGCTTCAGCGTCTGAACTGGAACCATATATTCGGGCTCCTAAAGGCCATGACCTCGAAACAGTCCGATGGAGATTTAGCGACCATGCGATTCGTTCTTCCCGAAAATGTATCGTTTGACTTCGAACACCGCCGCCTCGAATTTGTAGACTCGACTACAGGGCAGACATCTCGGCTCAGAGCATCTGGCGATCGTGCCAATCCGACGGGAGTCATATTGAGAGGCCCCAGAAAGGCGTTGGCTAAGGTAGCTGATGAGCTGATCCAGGTGTCCAAGGATGTTCAGGTATTTGAGCTTGGAGAAGTAACTACCCAAGACTACGTAACCACTCAGCTATGGCCGGCGACCAATAATTCAGTCAAAGACGATAAAACGAGTTCTGACGCCGGAAAGGACTCTCTCTGGTTGAACACGGAGCCAACGAAGCCGACAGCGGAGCTCAGAGTTGAGCATATGCTCATCCCCGTCCACTGGTCGGTGGACGGACTGAGTTCTTTTATTAAAAATGTCATTTATACTCATCTACCGCCGAGGCTAGATCCTACCCTTCATAGCGATCTCATCAAACAAATCGGTGATGGTGCTCTTGATAGGAATGCCGTCAAGGCACGACTAATCATGAAGGTCTTAACGGATCCTAGCGCGACTCCATTTATCACAGCACATACGTTAGAGATGTCAATGGTTTTTCTTACACGACGAGGTGGTTACATTGCTGACGCTGATCGACTACTCTCCTTCGCGGAAGAGCGGGGGTTGCCCATGGGCACCGAGTTTTTCAACATCTTGCTTGAGGGCTACGCCTCCAACCTGGATTATAGGCACTTTCATAAGCTATTGAGCAAAATGAACTCTCGATTCTTCAAGCCCAATGCGCGAACCTGGCTTCTCTTTCTGCGCCTCGTTCAGGGAAACAGCGAGCGGCAGCAGATAGTTGCTGCAATGTACGACCTAGGCCTGTTCGAAGACCCGGAAACTCGTCGTGGTATTGGCAGTGTGTTTGCCCAGCGAGAAGCCCACTTGGCTTTCAAGACTGGAGGTGTCAATATTCAACAGTTTATGGATATTCTAGCCACCACTTATGGCAGTGACTGGCGCACCCAGGAGACTCTGAGCTGTATTCTGAAGGAATACCTTCATGTTATTGGAAAAGGCCTTCAAATATCCCAGCTGGAGCTCCTTCTTCAGAAACAGCCAGATGACGGGCGCCCCCTGGATGTTCGTTTCTTTAATGATATTCTGGAGCACTGCCAGCACACACGACACTGGAATCTTGCTATTTGGACGCTACAACAAATGAATAAACGTGGTCTAATGCCTGACGAGAAATCCTACGACCATCTGTTCCGGATGGCTGTGTGGACAAAGCGACAGCGCACTCTGGGCGCCGTTCTATTCCAGGCGATTCTCGATCAGAGCATAACCTCCGAAATGCGTTCGATGCTGGCTGATCTTATCCAAGGCCGGTACGGCAAAGTTTTCTGGCGAACCCGCCAGCCTCTGGTTTTTAATCGAGCGATGCTGCTGGATATGTCTCTTCGACGCAACCTCTCGAGCCACGACCTATGGCATGACATGGTGCAATGCATCCTATCCGAGTGCGGTGATCTGGTCCCCGGCCAGTCCCTGGCCGAAACCATTGACCAAGCGCTTCGAATCGACAATTTCGAGCACAAGTATGAGCAAAGGCTGAACAAGCCAGTAATCTTCAAACTGAAACACCCAGATGGCCTCTCCCCGGGACGGAGTTTATCCCTGCAGCACAGCAGCGACGAAAGCCCAACCACTCTATCCAAGGTCGACCCTGACGAGAGCCGGACCAAACTACATGGTCACAGCAATGTGGAACATTCCCCCCTCAGCGCCGCACAGAGACTGCGCTTCTTCTCCAACGACACCCCCGCCCCGGTCCTCTCGGCACTCCTCCCCGACGCCATCCTCGACCACGAAGAATTCGAAGATATGGCCATGTGCTCCGTCGAGGACGCAGAGCAAGCACGAGCTCGCGTCGCCAAGATCCAGACCCTGGAAGGCGACGAATTCTGGGGCTACGACGTCCAGGACGCGCCGCAGCCCTCCGCCGAAGACGGCGGCGGCATCTTGGCAACCCTGGAGATCGAGAGCGGAAACGCAGAGCCGCACCGCGTCTGGGAGTACTTCGGCTTCTGCGAGGCCTGGGACGTCCCCTGTTCCACCCCAGACGAGCCGGCGCCGGCACTGCTGGACAGGAAATCCACGACGCAACATGGCAAACCCGTCTCGGGTAACAAGAAGAGCGGGAAGGGCCAGTTCTTCACAAGCCAGAAACGCCGTGTCGGAGCTCGGATTCTGAACAGTTCCCAGTTCATGGAATGGGCCGTCGACGCATCGGACGAACCCCCAGATGAGAAGGGGCAAACGGGAGATGCGGAGGGACAGCCAGCGGACGCCGAAGCGGTCCCTTGATGCATAAAGAGACTTTGGATATCTGCATCTAATCTGAAGTAGCAGAGGGGGAGGATAGAGCTCTGCTGATCCAACGACATGTGGTGAATGTAGCATTACGTTTATAGATGGAGGGTTATTGGGTGTATATTTACTGGAGAGACAAACGGGGGGAAAGCATATAACTGTATAACATAGCCATGCATAGGAATGCCAATGTACAATCAACTGCCAGTCCAATTCAATTCACCCATGACGGCCTCTGTATACTTTCGTACCCTACATGTACAGTATTCTTGGGCGAACAACGTAGATGATGCCCTAGCGCTACATATAGGCATGGGCAAAATAGACAGAGATGATACGAGCTCGTTTTCCATTTCGTTTCACTATCAAGACCTAGAAGAAATACGCGTGCTCCAAATACAACATTTGGATGTTCCGTCATGTTACAGTAAGACCAAGTGCCACACACTTTCCCCATTTCGTTCCTTAGCTCGTGACAAAGTTTATTTCGTATCCTATGGCCATACCTTCGTTTACCGTCCCATTTGCTGACCAGGCCCTCATCTCCAGTAAATTCATCAGACGGATTCGCTGTCTTTTGAACTCCCCGGCATCTCTTGATCCCCCCTCCGGGCCTCCGGGGTTGTGAAAATATTGGCGGAAAGTGTAGGACAAGGAGAGTTGAAGACGTAGATGTAAAAGAGAAATAAAAAGAGAAAAAAAGGGGCAAAGCGTGGCTGAGATTAGAGTTACGCAGCAATTCTAAGGGAGAAGAGAGAGACGAGTCTTGGACAGTGGATGGTGAAATCGGATGACCAACAGCATTACAGTGCGAAAGAGAAGAGGTTCCTCACGCGGGCTCTCCCTTGCGGTCCAGCATGAACACCAGGTGACTCCGAGCAGCATGTGTGTGATATGAAATATACCATGCAGAAAAGCAGATCACTATGGCTCCCACGTAGTCAGATCCTCCCCCCGGGGAAACAGTGGCATGTCTGTATCGGAGCACAACGCCGAAACAATGAATCAAACAGGCTCTTCCCTGCGCGAAACGAGCACCTAGTCCTTCTTACTCTGTTCGGTGGTCGTCTCCTCTTTCGTCTTTGCGTCATCCTTCGTTTCGTCCTCCTTGGTCGTCGATGCTGTAATTATTCGTTCGGCCGTAGAGGGCTCGGGCTTCGGGGCCTCCGATGAGGCGGAGCTCTTGGAGACTTGGCTCTCAAGGTCCTTGTCTTCGTCCGCGTTATCGAACATTCCGGTGTCATCTGAATCGGTAAGAACCTCAGTCCCATCGCCGAGGAAAATAATACGACCTTTATACCCACCAACGCCAAATGCTTTGCCCTTGTTTTCTGTGTCCATCTCATACCCGCTGTCACTATCCTCGTAGTTATGGTGGACTCCGGGTCCTCGAAACTCGGCTGGAGAGGAGAGGAAAGTATGTTAGCTTGTATCCATCCTGGCATTCTGATCGATCAAGAATGTAACTTCGTATCATGGTGGTCTTTGCAGCCATCCGGAAGATAAATGAAGGGTAGAGAAGAAGAGAGATGACCATAATCAAAGCTGGGGTATCATCGTACCGTATTCCGGAGGAGCGGCAGGACCGTCTCCGTTGGCTACTCGCTTTGCAATCTCGTCATACCACTCGTCCTGGGTCTTGCCGTTGAGGAAGCCGATGATGATCATGGTCATGTTGTCACAGCCAACACCGCCAGTCTCTGAGTTTGAAGCAAGGCAGTTGTCCATCATGTTCTCGCAGATCTTGTCAAGATCCTGCTTGGCGGCAATACCTCTCCGCACAAATTCGACTACGGCTTGGGAGGACTGGCAATCCCAGATACCTATAACGGGTGAGTTAGTTTGCCGCCCTACGGGCGCGAAAATACGAAGTGGGATAACTTGCCGTCGCATGCGAGGACCAGGAACTCGTCTTCGTCTGTGAGATCGTGTACATCGACATCAGGGAAGGCTGTGACAATCTGATTTTCGGGGGACAGTTCTGCGCTCTTCTTGAACTCAAAGTCTCCAATGGCGCGCGACAGGGCAAGGTTGCCATTGACACGGCCAAAGTCAACAAAACCGCCGGCGGCGGTAATTCGGTTCTTCTCGGCTGGATAAAAGAAAAAGGAGGGAGATACCAGGTCAGCTTGCAAGGCGCGATACAAGCTGGAGATACAGCAAGATGGACTAACTCTCGAGTTGTGGCTTGTGATCTTGGGAGAGAGGCTTGGCCCTTCCTTTAATACCCAAAACACCTCTGGAATCACCGGCGTTGGCCTAAGGGGATAAAGTCAACACCTTGTGCTCTGGCCGGAATTTCCCTCGAACATCATCATGTCACATCGTAAGTCGCTGAGACGCACCAGGTAAATTTTCTTTCCAGCGATCAAACCAACACAAGCTGTGCAGCCGGACACCTCTTCCTCGTACTTGGGATCTGGAGAGCACACAAAAACGCATCAATATAACAGGTCAGGGGTGGTATAAGCAGTCCTGAGCTCTGCGGCGGGCAAATGGGTGAATACCGTTGAGAATGGCTCTGTCGGTCGCCAGGAAACCGTCCTTGAGACTCTGTGCATAGTCGCCAGACTTGAAGGTGTCCTGCTTTGAGACAATAGTGTGAATGTTCGCGCCGGCAAACAACGCAACCTTGTCACCTCCATGCCCGTCGAAGACACCGAAAAACGCGAGCCTGTCCTCGTCTGTCTCTCCGTTCTTGTTGGCGGCATCGGCCTCGTTAGCGGCTAGGAGGTCGAGTACGGTGGTGTGGGCGTCCTCCATGCTGATGCGCCAGCCCTGCATGGCTGAGACGCCGTAGATGAGTCTGTCATCCCCACCCTTTTCGGAAGACTGTGGTTGCGCAAAGCGAGCGACATGTTAGCAAAAAATTCACTGCACAGAAATGTAGAGTTTTGCCCATGCGAGCGCACGCGCGCCGCGAAGAAGCAAAAAAAAGAGGTGTCTGGACCAAGGGAGGGAGGGGCATGACGAATGACGGCCGAGCTTTGCGGGGTGATGATAGAGTCTCGGACAGCCCACTAAACGCACACAGCGAGGAAGAAGCTGCAAAACCGAATGCGACAAAACACGGCGGTCGGCAAGTCGTGGAGAAAACAGAGGCAAGGGAAGCAGAGGGGTACAATTGCGCTCGTGCCCCGGGTCGGCGAAGGCAGAAGAAACGAGGTATAGAGCCACGAGGGAACAGACGAACCTTTTCGACAACCGGCTCCGAGAGGGTCTGACCCATGGTGGCAGGTCGATCGGTAGCTGGGCCACCGGAAAATTGGGTAAATCGGAGAGGGGTAGAGGAGGGCGGACACGGTCGGCGAGGAGAGGAGAAAGAACGTGTCTATTCACGGATATGGGAGAGCAGAATCAAGCGAGGTGAAGTGAGAGGCAAGGCAGAAGGTAGTGGTGGTTGTAGCGAAAGGGTCTGGGCAATTACGTGGGTGGAGGATGCCGTCAAAGGCAAAGGCCAGTGGGGGTTAGTCAGGTAAGACCGCCCGCCAGGCAGATACAGAGGCGGCACAGAGGCAGAGCAGAGGCAGAGGCAGAGGCACAGCTCCGCAGCCCGTCGACTCACTACCAGCGATCAGCAGCGCGGCCCAGGCTGCCTGGCACTACCTCAGTTGCTGGCAGCTGCTGGAGCCGTGATCAGCAGCGAGATCAGCGCTGAATCTGCGTCCAAGTTGGATTGATGGGGGCGAACTCGGTGACGCCCAAAAAACCTCTCCTCCTATGGAGACATCTACACTCTTAACATGCTGGTGGACATATCACATCCATCTCATGCGCTCATGGCCCAGCTCCCACAACAGGTTACACAACAACACGCGCAGCGCACACCCACAGCACTTCGGTGCTCTGCGGTCCATCGGATTCTGGGCAGCGTAAAAAAACCGAAAGGAAGCGGGGTAGCAGAGCAGCCTGTCCATTCTCCCTCCTACAGCCGCACGCACTACCTGGTCAGGGAGGCAGTAATTTTAGCACTAGGGCACCCCACCGGCACCTCAATTATTCAAGAATTAATTGAATCAGAATCAGAGAAAGATGCAGACCAGGTAGGTAGTCTACAATGAAACAACACACCAACAAGGCCGCCAAGTCAGCATAATGGAGTTATTCGGTACTTATCACAGCTAATTATAGAGCTCACATGTGATTGCTACATAGTATACCTGAAGATGGGATGTTGAGCTGGCGTTGTGACTGCTATATGTTATATCAAAATACTTCCTCGGAGGGTTCTCGACTTTTAGGACAGGCGTTTTTTCTCTGTCTTGCCTTGCCTTGCCTTGCAGATCTACAATTCCGTACGTTCATGTACGTCAACCGCTTGCAGTAGCATGAATAGCGAGCACGGACGGCTCTTCCTTGTCTAGTCATGTCATGCCAGTCTTTCCCATGTCAACGGCAGTGAAAGGAAAGCTCCCTTGGCAGAGGAGCACGTGCTGCCACCTAGTCATGCTCGCCACGATCGACTCGACGCGGGCGCACGCGACTGGCTCGCAAAAAGCCAAAAACCCAACTCAACAAGTTTGGCCCTACGGCTCGACTGCCTAATGAACGAGTGGCGGCCAACCAGAGCAGAATCCCCACCGGGACAAGCAAAATGCGTCTCAACCGGAACGGTCGCAGCGCGTGGTGCGTGGTGTCCGTTCCCTGGGAGAATTTTTCTCTTGCACACCTGATCAGCAGCCCTAGCCAATGGTTGATCCCCCTCTCTTATTAGTTGGTTGCAAAGTCCGCGTCGTTTGCGCCATCATCCTCAATCTGCTCCCTCGCCCCTGCTCTGCTCTTGGCAGGCACGTACCCGAAAAGCCCCAAATCCGGCGGGTTCTGGGCTCAGGATCAGTCGAGTTTGGCCGGGGTGGTCGTGCGGCAATGGCATCAGGATTGATTTTTTCCCTTGCTCTGGGTGGGAGCGGGGCCGGGATGAGCTTGATGATGACGATGTTTTCGCGCCGGAGGCAGAATAGCACACACACACACTCACACACACAAAAGCAGAA